TGACCCAGAATCGGACCTTCATTCGCAGTAGGGAAGAAGGGTTTCTGCAAGTCTTTGTATGTTCTGAGGGCAAGACATCCACTCAACTATAGCAGTTTATAGCAACCCTACACAAAGAAAGCAGCAACTCTAATGACCAGAGACCAACATCTCCACACATCTACCAGCGATCACGACAAGACAGCCACAGACAACCTAAGAAACCCTACAGCTACGAAGAAGACGCCCTGGAGACCTAAACAAAAACACTAGAAGGAAGGCCGACACACGAATGCGAAAAGCGCAAGCACTACTCTGCCACTGGAGCTGTTCTGAGATGTGGAGGATAATGCCTTTTGGCCTGGGTGCGGCCGAGCTGTGTTTCCTTCGTGGAGCGGGATTCCCGCATTGGACGGATTTGTTGTTACCAAAAGACTGCAGTCGTCCTCCACATTATAAACTTTTAAACCCTTGCTTGTAAGGACCCAAAGATGAGACGCCATAGTAAAACCTGAAAGCCCTTGGCAGCATGTTTCGAAACCGAGCCCGTGGTGCATGTGCGGAGGTGCAGGTCGTGAGCATGAGACGAGAGGTCGCTCACAAGCTGTTCTGATCGTGGTGGGATTTCGTTGGTTTTTTGGGTTTAAGATGTAGGTGATGGCAGTACTTCTGCTATTCGCATTTGTAGTGATGGTGGCAGCGGTGATGCAGTGTGAACTTTGCAAGCACATCGTGAGTTCTCCGCATGACGGCTCATGATGATCATTCTGCTGGTGACAACAGTTGTAGCAGTCGTCTACTGCATATATGAACCTGAGCCTTGAAGCTCCAACAGAAACGGCCCGAAAGCCTGGCCTGTCTGAGTCTGAGCTGTGAGCTACACGCGAACGGTTTCGAGTCTTGGGGCGTATACATACAGTGCTGCATCCATATGAATGTCATGAACTGCAAATAAGCGGTGAGACGAGCAGCTTTATAATTAAGACTGGCCACAAGCAGGCGGACAAGAACATACAACCACTTCTGAGTTCGAATATTACTACGACTATCACAGGAAGCACGAAGAAGAGCAACACAAACAGAAGCACTAGCACTCACAATAATCGTAGCAATGGTAATCGTAGAAACATGAGTTCGGGTAAGGTGCAGTAAGAGTTCCAGTACAGCAACAGTTTCATTACCGTCGTCGTAGTAGTAGCAGTAGTAGTAGTAGCAGTAGTAGTAGTAGTAGGAGGAGGAGGAGGCGGAGGAGGAGGACGAGGAGGAGGAGGAGGAGGAGTAGGACTGCTACTGGCAACAGCCGGAGACATAGTGGCAGAGAACTCTTCAGAACTTCTTAACCCTCGCCTGCTTGTCGAGTGCGAGTGCCAAAATGTTAAGTCAGAGGCAGCAGCCAGTGTAAAGCAATACAGACGGTGACGGTAATGGTTTTCAATAATGCATACAGGGATGGTAATGCTCGTAATTGCTATCCTCATAATCACAATGAGAATCGCACTCAGAATGCTGAGGGAGCAAAGATTGCATGGCAGCTGGAGGAAGCATGCGGGAACCTCCCGAGGCACAGGGCTTTCGCAAGACACATGGCGTTTAGGGTTGAGGTCTCGCACTGTAGGGTGCTCTAACAGCAGAGTGGAGCTCGGGATATTTGTGCAGTTACCGACGTGTAGACACTTGGGTTTTGGGAACTTGTGTTTTTTTGGGAGTCCTTATCTTGAGTTAATCTTGAATTCAGTCTGCTTGCGCGCTTCGAGATTTGCATGCTAAGGCCGAAACTTTGTATCCAGTTGTTCCCGGTTCTGAGATGTAGTTGTGTGGGTACTGATTCGCGGAGGTCTGCTGGCGAACGTTTGGCGCGTGCGATAGCTTGTGAAAGCCGAAGCGAAGCTGCCATGCGCTGTGGACAGTTTCAGCTAAGTTTTTGCGTCGCTGGGAGTTAGTGATTGGGTTGCAAGGAGATGTTGCACGAACTGACGTGCTTGTTAGGTTTGGGTCAGAAACGATTGAAGCTCACAGCCTGAGACCTAAAAAACCCTAGAAGCGAAGAGTCGCAAAAAGGAGCCAACAAAAACCTTAAACCATTGCGTGGAGAGTCCGAGTCTGAGCGCCGAAGTATCGCATTCCGTTCAAACCGAGAGCATCCTAAACATCTACACTGCACAAAACTCTACAGGAGAGCCCTAAAGCACTAAAGTCTAAAATCCGAAACCCTGAAACAGGCTCGAAGATCTTTGTGAGAAGGAGGCCTGGGAGCAGCGATGTATGGAGCGCGAGCGCCAGGCAGGCCCTAAGCCGGGTAGAGGTTCAGAGTTCTGTGCTGATTGGCAGAGTCTGGGTTCAAAAAGGGGTTGAGGGCTTCGGGTTTAGTTTTTTTTTGTTCCAGTTTTTTTTTTTGCGGCCTTGGAGGGGGTCGAAGGCTACTGTTAGTTTAAAGCCTTCAGGGTTTCATCAAGCACGTAAGAAAACCAAAAAAGCTATATATATATATATGTAAAAGATGTACATACATACATACATACAT